ACATACATGCATACATATATATATATATATATATAAAAGCTTTTTCTTTCCTTAACATTATAGCTTGGATTCTATAAATTAATTCTTAAACTTTCTATTATAAACTTCAAAAAAAGTATTCAAAATGAAATTGCATTTGAATATTTAGAAAAATTAAAAGATAAAACAGAATCTGAGACTTGAGATAGGAATAACACTGACAGCTTGAAGGAACATAAAAAGAATCTACTGAGCTCGAGACATCATAATTTCTCCTTTCCGAAAAAGGAGGTAGATCCCGAGAATTATAGCTTATTAACTGTTAATTATAGCCTTGGTTACAAACGGTACGTTCGTACAGGGTTTGTATGCACTGGAAAAAATTAAAAAGTGAAAGCAATATAAATATAATTTATTTATATATATTGTTATGTTTGAAGCTACCAGAATATTTTATTTTCTCTAAGTAAATGTATGTAAAGCCGAAGGAGGAGGATGCGAAATTTTAATTTGAAAAGGGAAGCTAATATTGAGAAATTTTCAGTCTCTTTATGTCAGTTTTTAATTTTTCCCAAGTGCGCATGAACCTTGCAATTATGAGAGTTTCAATTACACAATGACGAAGTGAAATATATATTCTAAAATAATAGAAATTTAAGTAGTTTTCAATTTAGTATATTTCATTTTAAGTAATTTTTCGACAACTACATATCAGAAATTCAAATTATCATAAGAAATTGGACCTAGACTGAAGTATCACAGAGTACCTGTCCGCGAAGTGGACAATCGACCCTTTTATATAAGTGAAAGATATCTTTCATATATCATGTCTTGGTCATATATCATCTCTTTCAAACATCATCTATCTTTCATATATCATATACATAATCTCTTGGGTGACTGGAGTGTAGCAATAAATGCAATATAAACTTAAACTGTATAAAATATCTGGGCACCTGAGGCCGCTTACCTTTTTCCCAATCAACTTTAGCTTGATCTTTGTAGTGCTTCGATGAGGTTGTGGAATGCAAATAAAGTAAAGGAGTATTCATGTTGATCATTGAGGTTCTGACTGTGTAATTATATGCTGTAGGGTGATAAGACTGTATTTTAAAAGTATGAACTTTAGCTAAGCTGATATGATGAAAATGAGGTTATGCATATGCTACTGATGTCGGGAATTTGATACATCACTGCAATAGTATGCTGCTATTGGTCTGATGTTATTGTCTTCAGTTAAATTTTCAAATAGGAATATTTCATTGAAATTTGCGCAATAATTTTTCCTTTTTTTTTTTTTTTAATTTCCAATGGCAAATTTATTGGACAGTAGTTACAGCACAACAAGAAATCTAAAATGCAATAAAAGATGGTAAACATAATGCAGTAACTTGAGTCCATTAATTCAAAAGGTCTCGGGCTTCCCAATATCGCTCAGCTAGAGAAGACCTGCGCAAAGCAGGACAGTGCATAATATGGGCGGCATCCATTTCCTCCCCAAGGTAACAAAGCGTGCAGATGGGAGAAGGAGCAATGTTAATTCTGCTGAGGTGTTTAAGAAGACAGTCGTGTCCAGCGGTCAGGCGGAATTCTGCCATAGCTCTACGCCTTGGCCCAATATAGGATTTTATCGGACACTCTTTTGGACAGGTCCATGAGAATGGTCTTTTAAGCAATTTGTCACCATTGGAACAAAATGGTATTGCGCTGGAAGGAATTCCAACAATTGAGGCGCCCTTCTTGGCCAAAAGATCTACACTCTCGTTTCCCACAACTCCCCGCAGTGGGAGGGTATCCACTGAAGGACAATGTTTTTCCTGTGTGACTCAAGGCTTCGAAGGAGTTGTCGGCAGTCCATGACTTCAATGATTTTGGGATCGTCAGAGGAATTGATGGCTAGAAGTGCGGCCATAGAGTCTGCTTTTGTAAACTGGTCAAGGTGACAGTGAATTTGAGACAGAGCAGCTTGAATGGCGGTTATATTTGCGCAATCATAAGAAATGAAATTTCTTTGTTGTATAGCTGTCAAATTTCATATTTAAAGTAGTAGCGAAACTCATGTTATTCCATTAAACTTTTTGAATTAGAATAACAATTATAAATGCTGCTTCTTCCCCGACCCCGAGAAAAAATTCATAGCAATAAATCAGGGTTCCCACGTTCTGGATAGTTTTTCAAAGTGGTTGTAAAGTAAGATATATCTAGGTGTTATAAGCTATCAATAAGTATATAATTTAAAGTCAATATAAATGCGTGAAAAAATAACTCTGGAATAATTTCGTAATTCACAAGTGATAAATAAATTAAACATTTTACAATGATCTTTAAATATCTTAGCTACCAGTAATTTATTTTTTTTCAGGTTGTGGGAATCATGTGAATAGTTTATTGTTAAGAATGAATTTACTCCCCCCAAAAACCATTTATTATTAAAATGATTCTACTACAAGTTCTTCTCTTTTTACGTTTCATTTTCAGGACTGTCCCACGGTCAGGATTCTTTTTTAAGAGATAAAAAAGTTATATTAAGTTCTATATTTTAATCTATCTAAGCAATTTTTAATTTAAAGGAAATATGGGAAATATATGGTCTCGAAAATGTATTTCATACATTCACATTCAGACAGAATTTTAATAGCACCACCGTATTTTATATGGATGACACTCAATTTGTCGTATGTTCCAAAAATCACAGCATTTTCCTACAAAAGCTCCAAGAATACCTTAATAGTAATTCTTTATTCATAGATTAACAATTCTTAATATTCTATAATCCAAGAACGGCTTAATAAATTTTACAAGAATAGCAAAACTCCAATAATTAGCCAAGATGTCTAGACTGGAAGTTTAAAATTAATGTACAAAAATTGCTATTTCCAACTATCCAATATAAAAGAAAAATCATCCACCCGAGGGAAAAAAAATCAAATTATTCTCTTAAACAGGTTGCCGCAGATAACGCATTAACCGCCCGACTTTAGCTTATATGTAGGCAAATAACGGCTGCACCCATCCTCAGAGCGTCTACAGTCTCAAACAAAAATTTCTTTTAGTGAATCTGTTAATTAGCACTTCGTTTTAAAAACTAATTCCTATCTTCAAGTACAGTGAAACCTGCCAAGTTGACCACCCTTGTAAGTTGGACACCTGCATAAGTTGACCTCAATTATCAAGAAAGGAATTTTTCCCATATAGTATAAAGAAGCAAAACCTTTGTAACTTGACTATCTGTCTATCTTGTATTTTGACCGCTGAAATAAGTCAATTTTGTCTAAGAGTATTGTGAAATTCTATTCTAAAACCCTCATAAGTTGACCAGAAGAAAAAAAATTCAGAAAATTTTCTGTCATTTTGCAATGTATGTTAAAATTTTACTTGTTTGGTGAAATAGTGTAAAAAAACTAATCTAAACCCTTTTGTGAGTTGACCATTTGGGGAAACTGTAGGGGGTCAGCTTTTGACC